TCTCCCCCTTTTCCTGACTCTGATATGAACTCTCAACCTGGAGAGATCATCCTGCAATGTAATGAAGGATCTATTGTCATGTTTTATGGTACCCTTGGGTACATGGGCTTCCTGGCTGCCATTTGCTTTGTGGTGGCTTTCCTAGCCAGGAAGCTGCCTGGGTCCTTCAACGAAGCCAAGTTGATCACCTTCAGCATGCTGGTCTTCTGCAGTGTTTGGGTGTCCTTTGTGCCCACCTACCTGAGCACCAAAGGCAAGTACATGGTGGCCGTGCAGATCTTCTCCATCTTGGCCTCCAGTGCTGGACTGCTGGGCTGCATCTTCCTCCCCAAGTGCTACATTATTCTCTTTAGGCCTCATTTGAATACAAAAGAGCAACTAACAAGAAAATAGTGAGTATGCTGTTAATTTGTGAACCTTTCTCTTAAACACTGATGTCCAGTAGAGTAGTAATAAATGGAAAAGGGAACTCTGTTTCTTATTCACATAAATGAAAGTATTCCTGAATGATGAGAGCGAACAGCTAATGAATGTGCTGTAGCAACAGGCCTTTTCAGCATAAATGTATCTAAAAGATTATATTTTTTCCTCACTCTTGCTCTATGTCTTTCTCACATACACAGAGATACATCTTTCTTGCTTGCTTGCTTTCTCTTTCTCTCTTTCTCTATGCTTAAGCTTCAGTTGATAAATTAGCTGTGATGTGGAATGATTCTAACTGATTTCACACCGAATACTGTGCAGTTGAAGCACATCTGAGAAAAACACTCAACACATATTTTTGGAAATTTCCATTTTAGTCTTTCACATTTCTGCTTTCCCTCCACTTCTGTTTTAGTTCCCTTTTCATGGAAATGGGTTTAGATCTTTATGTGAAGTGACCCTAAATTTAGCTGTGCATTTAACCTATTTTCTCTTGTTTATGAGATTACACAGTTAACATTGTGCAGGAACTTTACTTGCAGATTTTTTTTCTTCCCTTGTGAAAAAAAGCTTCTGTCTTATTCTCAGGTTGATACTTGAATTTTGTTTTCGTTTTTGATCATACTTATTTTGAGAGGTGATACTATTCTTTCCTCTGCCCATACTTCCAAATCTGAAAACACACAAATACACACACACACAAAGAGAGAAAGAGAGAGATCTTAACATGTTCGTTTCATTGAGCGTTAGGAGGCAACAATGCTAAGAAAACAATTTCAGTTTGGTATATGTGGGAAGTTAAACTACCTTTATGCCAATAGATATTCCATTCCATTCCTGGCCTTGTTGTGATGAACTTTTATACTGATCTGCAAAAAAAGACTCTTAATTTTTTGTCAGCAATTGCATTTTTTTTCCTGATAATTTGTGGTTAAGCCCCCAATTCAGGCTGATCCCTTTCAACAGAGGGCAGCATCTGGCTCAGTGTTTCTCAACCTTGGCCGCTTTAAGCTGTGTGGACTTCAACTCCTAGAACTCCCCAGCCAGCAGCATTCTGGGAGTTGAAGTCCACATCCCTTAAAGCAGCCAAGGTTGAGAAACACTAAGCTAGCTGATCTCAGTTGGTCTCAAAAGCTAACTATGGCCTTCCCTGTTAATGACTGGGGGAATTTCCTGGGAATTTGCAGAATATTGAACAGGCTGGGAAGTTGGAAAAAAAATGTGTCCAAAAAAGGCAGTTTCAACCCACTTTGGTATTCCTGACAAGAAAACTGCAGATTCATTCACCAGGAGTTGAGTTGGACTCGCAAGTTGGGAAGAAATATTACAGTTAAGGATCTCAATGTGATGCTGAATTACATTCCTAAAACATGGAATTTGTAATCTCATAAAGAGTTTTGGCTCTATTATGGCTGGGATATGTCAAAGAGGATAGTTTTATATAATTGTAAAGAAAGTTACTCTCCTGATTTTAAGGAATGGATCCAGAATATGAGTTTATTATCTACTCTTGAAAAATCTCAGTGTAAAAGAATTAGAAGGCGATACCGTGTGTTGTCATGTCATTTCAATTTAACGGTAAACTTAATAATTGAATTCATTTTAAATATGTATTTATACTTATCATATAGATCTTTTTCTGTTAATTAGTTTTGGGGGGATTGTATTCAGTTCACTTTAATTAAAACATATTTGGGGGTTTTTCCACTGTATAATCACTTTATCTTTTTTCTTTTTTTTTTAGTAATGTAGACTCTTCTTTTGTATCTCACCATTTTAACAAATAAAATGTTAAAAAATGACTTGAGGGTGTCTAGCTGTTTTAAATTTATTACAGTCAAGAGGAACAGTAAATATGAAATATGTACTGCAGGAAACATTAAGTATTGATATTCTGTCCTGTGTTATGTTGTATTTGAGGATCTTTCTATCAAATCTCTTTTTCACCTTTCTGGCTGATCCCATTTTTCTATTGTTCTTTTCTTTGCAGCAGGGGCGTCCATGGGTTGCGAGGGAGTGGAGCAAAAAAAAAAAAAAATCAAGATGGCAACCGCAATCCGTGCAGTTGTGCACAACTGTAAAAAAAAGGTCAGGGAGTGGATGGCACAGCTGCAGCCGCCATCTTGACTTTTTTGAGCCTTTCTGTGGAGGGCCTGTAGTGTTGGTAATTCCACCGGAAGTTTGGGGAGGAAGAATTGAATTGGGGTGTGCCCCTCCTTCCCTTAGGTCAGTGTTGTTCGAACTTGGCGCGTTTAAGATGGGTGGACTTCAGCTCCCAGAATTCCCCAGCCAGCCATGCTTAAACGCATCCACCCATCTTAAACGCGCCAAGTTCGAACAACACTGCCTTAGGTGCATGATCCATAGGACTCTATTGTTGGCCAAAAGGTGGCGCTATTCCCGATGTGTGAGTCCAACGAACACATGGGTTGGAGCAAAAGAAAACTGTTTATTGAAGTACTTCAGCAAAAACGACTCCTGCCTCTCAAGGAGCAAGAGCCCCTCAAGGGGCAACGTCTTTTATTTACCGCTAAAAGTAACAAAATTACAACTTTCTGTCAGTCACAACACCGCCCAGTTGCAAGAGCCACTTGTTACAGAACAACCCCTCATGACTTCCTTATCTTATCAAGGCCTCCACCCAAGGGCGTGGAATCACCTCACTAGGGGAGGGAAACTTACTATTATAAGGAGCTAAGGGCCAGGAAAGTGTGGCTACTCTCGTCCACACGCATGCGTCCTTGAGACCATCCCTTTCTACCTCCCTCAGACTGGTATCTGGTTTTTCCCACCCGACTTGAGGTACTTTCAACATGCTTCCAATTTACCTCACAATATTCACACCCACACAATCCATCCTTTCCTGAATCCTTGCCATCACTATAGGATTTTATATTTCCGTGTAATTGTTCAGTACTGCAGTGCAGAATTAAGCAACGTTTATTTTAGTCACGAAAGGGCCTTGCTTGGGTTACACTTTGTTCTGCCTTGTCCTTGATGAGGTACCAGTATCAGTAGGATGATTTTCGTCATGTGCAGTCCAATTAACTTTGGGGAACAGATGTTGAGAGGATCTTAAAGTTGAGATGATCTTATTGCCACCTGGTATAAACAAAGACTCCTCAGCCCTGATGGGCTCATTCCTGCCAGGAGGGCAAAGCATTCCAAGGCAAGATAGGGTTGCTGTTAATTTGTGCATCAACACCTAATTTAGGATTTGCAGGATGAATACCAAAGAACGAGAACACCAAGAGAGGTGCCAGGACGGCAACTAACTTTAAAAAAAGTGTATTAAGTAATTGTCTCAGGGCCAGGGGGTCCGCCCTCAAACTGCTGGGTGAGCCCAAATGGCAAAGATGGCCTCTGGAATTCAACAACCAAAGGGGTTGCTTTTGTTGGGCAAATTTCATAACCCCGCCACCTCTCTTTCTCCCTCCACCCCCAGAATTGCTCAGTTCAGGCATCAGCAAAGGAAAGTTAGATATTAATGAGGATTAAGTGTCTAGCAGGCCCTGGGCTCCTGCTAGGGCAAGAGAGAGAAATAATGATCTGATTGGGGTTAGAGCTGGAAGTTTGTGATCTCACAGCTCCCGAGAGTAAATAGGGAGAGCTGGCTTGTCTAAGCAGCCTCTCTTCCGGGTGTTCATTGAAAAATGCAGGTCAGTCACAGGGCAGATTGTCCTTCTTGTCCTTGGTAAAATCCAGTGAGATGAGACCACTGAAAAGCAGGCGTGCTTAAAGACAGTCAGCACCTCCAGGAGATGGAGCTTTGATGCAGACTTAACCAGGAGGGTGTTGTGTATTTGCTAGGTTTGAAGGGCTTCACCTGCCGTCATCTCCCTGGGCTGCCCTGAGTGGCAGAAAGGAAATAAGTGGTTCTTTTCCTTTGTCCTATTGCATTTCTGTAGTCTTAAATATTTTTAATTGCAATATATGCCCTTGCTTTTTGGCTTCAGGGTCTCCGGCATCTTGTTGTTCTTCTTGCCTTCTGTAAATTTTCTCTCTTATGTTCCATCCCTCATTTCAAATGGTTACCTTTCAGTTGTTGTGCTAGGAAGAATGTGTGCATAATAACTGAATATAGACGGGATGGTAATAATGATGGATTAATACTTGGGATTACAGGAATTGGATACAAGTAGTCCCAGGGTTACAATGGCAATTAGATAGCCTTTTCTATGCGATGCAGTCGTAAAGTGTGATGTCATGTGACTGCATCACTTAGTGATGGAAATCCTGGGCATTCCCAGTTGCCGTCATAACCCCAAGACGCACAGGTTGTTAAGCGGGAAGAGGCAGGAGTCCCAGTTAAGGAGCACGGGGGTGCTGCAGGGGTGCTAGGCTGGGGGGGGAGGCTGGGGGAGGACCTGGGAGGGCTGGTACAGACTGTGTGCAGGAGGGTGGGGGTGCTGCAGGCAGGAGGAAAAGTGGGAGCATCTTACCAGAGCCACTTGCAACCTTCCCTGTCGGCTTCCCCATTGACTTTGTTTGTAAGAAACCAGCAGGAAAGGTCACAAATGCCAATCATGTTGCAGCTTGCATGGATCTCTTTTGGTAAAATTGTAGATGCTCATCACTGGAGGATTTCATGCAAAAGTTGGGCAACCATTTATATGGGAATTCCTGCCCTTGGCAAGGAGTTGGACTAGAATTCCCTGAAGAGTTCATCAGGGGCTTCAGGTAAAATTTAGCTGACAGTCTTTCACACCTAGCACAACCTTGATGTTCTCTTTAGTGACCTCAGATCTTCTTTTCCCCCTTGATATCTGCACCAGGTAACCAAATCCTATACTATGTCATCCTCCTCCTTGCATAGCCAACTTCTCTTTGATGATCTTGAATCAACCTGGAACTTACATCTCTTCAGCAATTTGAGACTGCCTAAATCCATATTTGCTTGTTTGTCCTTTTTCTTGTTCTTCTCCCTGTGACAGACTCTGTGCATTGAAAAAATCTTATCTGGTTTTCCT